GGAAAATGGAGTATTCCATATTCAGATATCTTAGGATTGGTGCTTTATATTCAAAACTAGTTACCTATTGATAACATTTATTTATTATACTTCTTTAAAGCCAGCGACTGATAGCATTCATTTATTCATATATCATTCATATTAGCCTTCTTCATTTCTGTAGCACGAACTCCTTTTCCCCTAAATATTTTGAAGAGAGACAGCCCTGCGTTTGTCTTCTGATGTTTTTGAGAAGATGACAGCGGTGTAGTGGAAGAGCGTGGCTGGCGCTCAGAGACGAGGCGCCAGTGCATCTTGGTCAGCTCACTTGGGCCCTGGAGTCTGTGTGGAGGAAGGCGGGGCAGGGTGATTTCTTAGGTCCTTGCCAGTTGTTTCCATCGGATTCTGAGTTCAGGCAGATTTTCTGCATTTCCGTTCTTTGAAAAGGCTGGGTGACAGTCGACGGAAGTACTTGACTCTTGTGGGCTCTGGCCTCCAGGGTCAGTTACTACAAAAGAGAAGGAGGGTTTTCCACAGCAAGGGTAGGTAGAGCTCTGTAGCTTACTAATAGTTCTCTTTCCTCATTCTGTCCCTCTTGCTTCTCCTTCTCTTCCTCCTTTTCTTCTGCGGCTGCTGCTTTTGAATTTTGTAGTAAAAGAACCAATTGTGTTCATACCCTGAGCTTCCTAAGAGGCAGTAGCTGGGTCTAGAGTAAAACCTTTGGGCCAGATACATTAAAATGTGTAATAAAGCAAAATGGTAGCATGCTGATCACATATTTTTATTTTTTTAAAAAAGACTTTATTTAGAGAGAGTGTGAGCTGGGGGAGGGGCAGAAGAAGAGGGAGAGAGAGAGAGAGAATCACAGACTCCGCGCTGAGCGCAGAGACCAACTTGGGGCTCGATTCCATGACCCCAAGATCATGACCAGACCTGAAATCAAGAGTCGGAGCCTTAACTGACTGAGCCACCCAGGTGCCTCCATGCTAATCACATATTTTTAAATAAATTTAGTGGTGGTGTTTCCCAGACAGATGTACTTCTGCTCTGCTCTCAATTTCATTTGCGGAGTTGTAATGGAAAGTTGCTGTTGAGAGAGATACAGCAAGTTTGCTTTAATTAATAGATTTGGGTTTTTTTAATCAAAGTATAATTAGTGTTCTATTAGTTTTCAGGTGTACAGTCTAGTGATTACTCCATGCTCATCATGCTAAGTGTACTCCTAATCCCTTTCACGTGATTCACTCATCCCCCACCCCTCTCCCCTCCGGGAACCTCCAGTTTGTGTTCTGTATTTTAGAGTCTGTTTTTTTGTCTCTTTATTTTCTTTATTTGCTCATTTGTTTTGTTTCTTAAATTCCACATATGAGTGAAATCATACGGTATTTGTCTTTCTCTGACTGACTTCTTTCACTTAGCATTATACCCTCTAGGTCCATCCATGTTGTCACAAATGGCAAGATCTAATTCTTTACTGTGGCTGAGTAATATTCCAGTGTCATATGTGTTTGTGTGTGTGTGTATGTGTGTGTGTACCACATCTTCTTTATCTGTTTATCAGTGAACACTTGGGCTGCTTCCATATCTTGGCTATTGTAAATAATGCTGCAGTAAACATAGGGGTTCATATATCTTTCCAAGTGAGTGTTTCCATTTTCTTTGGGTAATTCCCAGTAGTGGAATTACTGGATCATATGGTCATTCTATTTTTATTTATTTTTTTAGAGAGAGGGAGAAAGGGGAGGGAGAGAGAGAATCTTAAGCAGACTCTATGCCCGTGCAGAGTCCGACATGGGGCTCCATCTCACCACCCTGAGATCATGACCTGAAATCAAGAGTCAGACGCTTAACTGACTGAGCCACCCAAGTGCCCCTATTTTTAATTTTTTGAGGAACATCCATACTCTTTTCCACAGTGGCTGCACCGGTTTGCATTCCCGCCAACAGTGCACGAGAGTTCCTAATAGACTTTTTTTTTTAGAGCAGTTTTTGGTTGACGGAAAGATTGCGCAGAAAGTATAGAGTTCCCACAATACTTCCTCTCCCCACCCCTAACACATCCTCAGTTTCTCCCATTATGAACTTCGGCCTTGAACTTGGATTTGTTGGATTCAATGAACCAATATTGATACATTATTATTAACTAAAGTCCACAGTTTACATTTGCGTTAACTTTGTATTATGCAGTTCTAATGGGTTTTGACAAGTGCTAATGTCATATATTCACAATTAAAGTATCAAACTGATTTACTGCCCTGAATGTCCCCTGTGCTGTACCTCTTCTGCCCTCCCCAAGCCCTTGTCAACCACTGATGGTTTCACTGTCTCCATAGTTTTGCCTTTTCCACAATGTTACATAGTAGGAAGTGTAGACTATGAAGCCTTTTCAGACTGGCTTCTTTTACTTAGCAGTAGGCATGTAAGATTCCTTCATTTCTTGTCGGGACTTGATAGCTCATTTTTTTTAAATGTGAATTTTCCATTGTACAGGTGTTCCAGTTCCTTTATCCATCACCTATAGAAGGACATCTCAGTTGCTTCCCATTTGGGGCAACTAGGAATAAAACTGTTCTAAACACTCCTGTGAAGGTTTGTGTAGATAGAAGTTTTCAACTCACTGGGGTAAATACTTAGGAACTTCTGCTATTTTAATTAGCTAAAGACCAGTGTCAGAAAAAAATACATTTGAAAGCCCCTGTGTTTAAAAATCAACCTATAATAGGTTTTATAGGTTTTTGTTTGTTTTTTTTTAAGGAAAGATAGAATGGGTGTTCATTTCCTGTGCCTTTGAGTTGAAGGTGAATAACCATCAAATCTAAGTAAATTATAAAAAATGTTCCACGTCTGTAGCAAGGCCAGGGAAATAGGAGCAGAGAGGCAGAACATGGGTAAGAGAAACTCTGCACTCGGAAGGGATAGCCATCACAGAACTAAAGCCGCGTGCCACATCCTTTGTTCTTCCCTTAGAAAATCCTAGGTATTCAGAGTTGGAAGGAACCCCAGGGAGTCAGCTGTTGATTGTGAGATCATATACCATATACCATATCATACACCATATACCATCATATTCATATACCAAGAAAGAAAAAACACTGCCAATTGACTGACGTGTCCTCAATGGTAGGACACATCGTGATGTAAATGCTATTAACATATGAAGAAATGTAAGTCTTAGAACTGGTAAAATACAGTATTCACCACAGATGGAGTAACAGGCATGGGACAAAGAACAGTATGATGCTCACGTATTTGGAGTGGCAGAAACTTGAAGGTTTTGCCTAATGGCTTTTATTCCTTCTGGAAGGTAGTCAGAGTTCATCTTCTGAGGAGGAGGAGCTAAAGGAAGGCCTTAGCGGCTCCAGAGTGGAAGGTCTTTGAGTGAGTCATTGACAACAGTGGAACCCAGCAGACCAGGAAATGGTAGAATGGCTGGGAAGCACTGAGGGTGCCCTGGGTTAGGGACACAAACTCATAGTGACACCAGACTACATGGCTGTGATCTGAGTCAGGAGTGGAGAGAGTGGACAGTGGCTTCATCTAGGATTAAGGGTTTGCTGGGCAGGGCGACAGAAGAACAGTGGGCAGAGGCCTTGCAGACGCAGACTGTGAGATAGTGCAGAGCCCATGCTGGAAGACGAGAAATGCAGGCCGACAGTAACATTTTGTGTTCCCCCCAGGATTGACTGGAAATATTTTTATAATGTTACTTACACTTTTTAGATACACACCGAACTAGGTATAAACTCATTTTACATAAAGACATTTACAAATTAAGTAGAAAAAAAACCCCATTTTTTCAAACAATAAGGTAGGGGCACCTGGGTGGCACATTTGATTGAGCAGTCAACTCTTGGTTTTGGCTCAGGTCGTGATCTCAGGGTCGTGGGATCAAGCCCTGCATTGGGTTCCACACTCAGTGCGGAGTCTGCTTGAGATTCTCTCTCCCTCTCCCTCAACCCCGCCCCCGCACCTCAAATAAATAAATAAATCCTTTGGGGGCACCTGGGTGGTTCAGTCAGTTAAGCATCTGCCTTTGGCTCAGGTCAATATCTCAGGGTCTTGGGATCGAGCCCCACATCGGGCTCCCTGCTGAGCTGCTTTCTCTCCCTGCTTCTTTCTCTCCCTCTGACACCACCACCTCCTGCTCATGTGCTCTCTCTCAAATAAATAAATAAAATCTTTTTTTAAAAAAAGGTAAATGTTATGCCCTGGATGTTCATGTTTCAAGTTCAAGATGGGAACAACTTGAGGCTCAAATCTTTGCATTTCATGTGTCTGTGCTCCCTTAGGAATGCAGGGTTACTATCAAATCACCTTCGCATTTGGCATGCTTATTAGTAATAGTACAGCCCTATCAAGGCTACCACTCAGCTCCCCTGCTCCTCCTTTCTGTTGAAATTGCTGTGGAACTTTTGTTTATGCAACACTCAGATGGCATTTTGGCTTTCACTTAATTCAAGTGCATCATTTGCAAGTTAGCCCACCTGTATGCTTTTCCAGCAAATCTGTAACAGAGTAGTGCTAGCAACGTACCACCATGGGTGCTTTAATCGGATAACACAGAATGCACGTGTGTGTATTGTCATCAGAATTAAAACAAAAATAGATATAAATTGATGGGCATCTAAGATCCCTTAATTTGAGAAAACACTGGCCAAGAGCAGTGGTTCTCAAAGTGTGGTCCAGGGACTGCCAGCATCATCAGAGCAGTCACCTGGGAACTTGCTGAGTGCGTCTGCTGTCAGCCAAAGTGTGAACTGCTGTGAACTGCTGCTCTAAGCTAACTGAATCACTCATTTTACAGATGAGGAAACTGTGGCCCAAAACCTGCTGCTCAGAATTGCAGTTAGTGTCCGTGAAAATGGGGTCTCAAACCTGAACCTCTGGACTTCAGTCCATTTCTGTTTCCAAAGCACTACCTTGTCATTTCTTTCTCAGTTTTTACTTTGTTTTCCTTGGTTGGGGCTGGGTTTTAAGGAGTGTTCCTAAAGTTTTGGGTTCTTGTCTTTTGTTCCTTATAGTGCCAGAACCTACTAAGACCTGTTCAAGCCAGCCCCAGCCTGCCGGTAACAGTACCAGCACTTGCACCAGCACTCTGTCCAGCGGCAGCAATGGCAAGCGTGCATCTGCCAGCAGCCAGCAGCCAGCTGCGTCCCGTTACCTGCCTCGCGAGGTGCCTCCACGCTTCCGCCAGCAAGAACAGAAGCAGCTGTTAAAGAGAGGCCAGCCATTGCCTGCAGGGGCTCTGGCCAGTGTGAGCCCGACCCAGGGTGCTGGGCCCGCAGGGGTAAGCCCTCCTCCCCTCCCTGGAGCCGGCGCACAGCAGCATCCCAGTAAGCTCCAACCAGGTAAAAACACATAGAGTGAGGCATTCCTTTTATCAGAACCGGTGTGCCATTTTCAACTTTGCCATACGGTGATATAAATAGACATACTTGGTCCGCGTTCACTATATGCATATAATGGAGGGAGCTCGCTAGCTAGATGGTGGATAGATTCATTTCAATTGAATTTTATTTTATTTTTTTAAAGATTTTATTTAAGGGAGAGAGAGAGAGCGCACGAGTGGTGTGGGGGACAGAGGGAGAGGGAGAAGTAGGCTTCCCGCGAAGCAGGGAGCCTGATGTGGGGCTCCCTCCCAGGACTCCAAGATCATGACCTGAGCCGAAAGCAGATGCTTAACTGACTGAACCATGCAGGCACCCCTCAATTGAATTTTAAAATTCAGTTCTGTTTCCTCCTCCTTCTATATATTAGTTCTCATTGGTTTTCTGATGGCATTAGCTCCTTCAGCTAAGTTTGTTTCTCACCAGAAACTAGAGGTCTGCACAAGAGTGCATGTGCATCTGTCAAGGCAGATGCCATAGAATCGTGCAGTGAGAATTCTTAATAAAACCTTCCTGCCCGTTTCCGAGGCTGGCCCGTGACTGTGCCTGCACTCTCTGCGGGGAGGTCACAGCGTTTGATCGGGAGTGGGTGCTTCTAACTGTCACTTGTTCAGACACGTTGAGCCAAACCTGCCAGGTCTCGTGCTCAGCCCCTGTGTGTCTGGGGTTCTGATCCCCCTGCTTCTTGCTGGCATCCTTGCCTGCAGATGGACACCAGCTTTCTCTTGACTCCTGAGAGAAATCACCCCCACTCGTTTGTTTACTTTCCAGCTCCTAGACTGCTTGCTGACAGCTCTCCTGTCCTCTCCTCTCTCCCCTCTTCCTATCTTCTTGACCTTACTGATGGACTCCTACTTGAAACAATTGCTTTACCAAAGTGTTAGAGAAATTTTTGGAAGAGAGCAAAGTACATGTGTTCAACTGCTGTGTTTCCCTGTTATTTTCTTAAATCGTTCCATTTCGAATGATTTCACAATCAGCATTGGTGCTGGCATGGACACCGTCTTTGGTCATGGTAGTGAGACTCAGGCCTCAGAAGCAAGGAGGCTTCTTACATTAGATCGGGATCTAAAAGAAACCTGCCACAAGTTATATTAATATTTCTTTCATGTGCTGCTTTCTAACATAGAGAATAATTCCAACATGGCTTAAGAGTTGTTGTTGTTTTTTTTTAAAGATTTTATGTATTTATTTGACAGAGAGAGAGACCGCAAGAGAGAGAGCACAAGCAGGGGGAGTGGGAGAGGGAGAAGCAGACTCTCTGCTGAGCAGGGAGCCCGATGTGGGGCTCGATCCCAGGATCCTGGGATCACAACCTGAGCCGAAGGCAGACGCTTAACAACTGAGCCACCCAGGCACCCGTGGCTTAAGAGTATTAATAGCAGTATTTCTCAAAACTCCCAACTTTGTGGTATATTTGAAACAAATATTTTTAGCTTGGCCGTATGTCTTTAAATAGTCTTGACTCTCATCTGCTGAATTCCTGGTAGAGGGTATGTAGGTCAATGGTTGTCAGCAAAAAGCAAGGGAAGAAAAAGAAATTGTCAAATATAGTCATTGACCAAGAATATAGTCCATCTACTTCACCGCAAGCAGTTATTATCAAACACAGTTACTTTCTACACTGAAACATGGTCCTCAGGAAAATCTTAACACAGACAAGGAGTGTGTAGTCATCCCTAAATAGCTTGGTGTTTTAACTTCAGATGCTTGTTTTGAAAAACTGGAAAAGAACTGTAACAACCCTGCTTTTTTCAGGCCTTATGCCATTGTTACATGATTAGTTGGCAGGACCACATCAGGGTTCCCATCAGATGCTGTTGGTGCAGGACGTTACCAGGACTTTCTTAGATAAGTAGAAAATAAGGAGTTGCTTCAATTTGGGGGTTGGAAATAATATCCTTTATTAAAATATTGGTCTCTGTAAATAGCCTCTGGAAAACTATTTCTAGTTTATTATAGTTAAAAATAGATAGATAGATATAGATACAGGGGGAGACTAATCAGCATTTTCTGTATAAACATCTCAGGAAATGGAATCAATCTATATTATATTAATAAAATAAGAAATGACTGATTTTTGGCTCCCAAACAAAAGTCTTCATTTTATACCAGTTTCGTCTCTTTCCCAACAGTTGCTGGTATCATAGCCAGATGAACCTTTCTGATTCAGGTCCCCTCGAAACCTGTCCTGCCTTACTAGTTCCTGTTGCACAAAGTCTCACTTTCTCTGCCTGGCTGTCAAGACAGCCTTGTCTAATCAGCATTTTCCCTTCTATTCTATTTGGCTTACTTTCCATTCTGCCAGCACTGTTTCCTCACTGTGTCACAAATACGCCAGGCTCGGTGTCATCTGTCTCAGTATGTGCATGCACCTGATGGCCTCCCCCTTCCTTTCTGTCCAGGTCATCACGGCCCCGCCCCACGAAGCCCCTTCCGTGCTTCCACTCTCTGCTCCTCTTGCTGCAGGAAGGTGCTCAGTCTGCAAATACATCTTCACCTTCATGGCACACTGTGCAGGCTACGTTGTTTGCTGATTAATTTTAAGAGTCTCAGCTCTTGATTAAATTGAAAGTATCCTATAAAGAGTCTCACTTTCCTATGGTACGACCAGCCTAGAGGGGCGGAATGAGCTGTACACTGGGGGTGGGGGTGGGGGGGATGATGTCCTGGCAGCTATAGGACTCACTGGTCATACCCTTCACCTAGGACTTCATTCTCATCCAAAATCAGAGGTCTGAGCCTCTCAGGACCTCTAATCTCTAAGGTCTCTTCCCTTTAATTTCTGAGTCAAATACTGTTCCAAAGAGCTTGTTTGATTTTTGTCCATGGAGACGTTGCGGGAACTCCGTCTGGTGTTGTTCGGGAGTCAGCATGGGGATTGCAGGGGGCAGCAACGTGCATGGAGGCAGCATGGCTGAGGGGTCAGGAGACAGGCTGGTGGAGCCACGGCCTGCCCTCTGGGGTTCTCACCTGTGACATGGGGGAATTCCTACTCTACAGGACTCTGAGGGTGAGATTATTTGTTTGGTACTCAGCAGAGGGCCTTGCATACAGTAAGTGCTCCATAAGTGCATCAAATATGTGCCCGTCTTTGACATGCTATTATGGAGCAGCAGTTGTTTCTTAAACTTGCAAAATTTTTAAATGAATAAATTTCTCACAGTGCAATAAAGCTTTCTCATCCTAGGGGTGCTGGGTGGCTCAGTCGGTTAAGCGTCTGCCTTCAGCTCAGGTCACGATTCCAGGGTTCTGGGATCAGGCCCCGCATCGGGCTCCCTGCTCAGTGGCTCCTGCTCAGTGGGGAGCCTGCTTCTCCCTCTCTGCCTGCCGTTCCCCCTGCTTGTGTGCTCGCTCGCTCGCTCGCTCTCTCAAATAAATAAATCTTCAAAAAAAAAAAAAGCTTTCTCATCTTTCTCTGACCTGTGTACATTTTGAAATTTCAGCTATCCTTCCTAGAGTTGAAGCATTCTGTGAACTTTTTCGTGGTGCATGTTACTTACTAAATTCATATCCAGGTGAAATCCGGAAGAGTAGCCACATTTTCTCGTTACATTGAAACTTTTGTAGATACTGCTTCAAGTAAAAGCTTGCATTTTTTTTTTTTTTAATAATACATAGATTGTCATTGAGCTTGATTCTGGGTCAGCAGGTTTCCACCCCTGTAGCCACACCTGAAAAATGCAGTTTTGCTCATGATTCCATTCCTCTGACAGTGAGGTTAAGTTAAAAAGTAGGAATGTTCGGTCACTGAACTAAGATTGAATTACCCAAGCCGGGAGTAGGCAAATGACTCATCCTTAAGATTTTAGCAGCAGACTATTTCTCGTGAAAAGAAAAGTGGAAAGGGATTATTTCAGACCAGCACATTAATTTCTATTTTTCCCAAGTGTATCAGCATGTGGACTCTTTTTTCACCCACCAAAGGCATAGTGTGATTGGCAAAGATTAAAGAAGGTTAAATATCCCTGGAAAGAATCAGTGGACTTTGAATCACCTTTATCATAGCTTTAAGAAGTTATAGTGAAAACCTGCTAAAATTAATGAGCATCCTTGTTCCCTCCCATCTGAGTGCAGGGCCGTTTGCCTTCCTTCCTCCTCCCTGTGGAGGGATTGTCACAGTGTTTGCTGGAGTAAGGGAAAGCGATCTTGTCCACCTCAGTGTATACAGAAAGCACTTATAGATACCAGTGAACAGTGTCGGTGTAGAAACGGGAACACGTGTAAAGAATTGAAAACTGAAGTCATACTCGTTTTAGCACAGCAAGCGTAGCTACATTTTCTATACTGTTACATAAGGCAGTGGTAGCATATGCAAAGAGACCCAGACTGACAGTCATTTCTGTATTCGTTCATTTCCTTTATGTCCCACATGCTTTGGAAAAGGATAGTCAGTAGATCAGTCTGGCTGTTAAAAAGTTTTGTTATGATTCACCTTGTAATTTACAGTAATCTGTCAAACTTGTTCATATGGAAAAATTGCATTGCCAGTTTTTGCCATTTTTTGACAAGCTGATACGCTAGCTTAATACTTATGCACCGTCTTTTTCCTCTGGTTACTCCATCAGAATGCCTAGGCAGCAGTCCCACACACAGCTTGCATACCTTTGAGAGGAGGAGAGGCTAACCCGCCAGAACTGTGGTCTCTTCAAGCATGTATGCATTAAGTCACCAAGCAAAACATTTCTTGAATGCCTACTAAGTATAGGGATACATAGTCATGCCTAAGTAGGTTGGGGTGCCACTAAGAGATAACGGGGGGGGCACGTGCCCATTAACCCAGACCGAGGATGGGGGACTGCCAAGGAAGGCTTTCCCATGGAGACAACCTGAGCTGAGTTTTGGATTAGCTGTGAAAGGCAGGTGATAGAGCAGCCTCCGTGGGTGATGAAGGTGGTTCAGCGTGGCTGAAGTGCAGGGGGCAGTAAGGGGAGATGGGGCTGGAAAGGTAGCTGTTAGTA